AAGCCAATATTTCAATGCTATCTGTTGCCGATACCAGCCGGTATCTATAAGGTTTTGAGCAATCGGCTATATGTCCAATGTAGATTATGACACTTAAGTAAATAATGATATAAATACAACCGGCTGATGATAATGTAATAGAACAATATTATGATCCAAGAGAAACTAATCGGTTAATAATGATATGATAGAATAATTGCTTGATATGAATGTTAAGTATACATCGGTTGATGTTCCGATGTCATGAAATCCACAAGATTAGATAATCAATGAAACCTTTATATGTAATCTTTGTAAGTCAATGCAATATCCAAATAACTCATCAGCTGAAACCTCGTTGAAACACTTATTGGCAATCAAAGGCAGGTTAGTTTTTATTCTTTCTAAGCACGAGTTTGTAGGTGAAACCCAATTGATGCAGCACTAAGTATGAAAAAAACATAAAATCTAAATAATCAAGCCTTTGACTGATTTTTAGGGTGGTGGATACCTTAGCTAATCTAAATTGATGAAACAATTTAACACATACCAACAAAACCCAATAAAAGATCTTGCCGATACAGGTAAATTGAGACATTGACTTAGATTAACTAAGATATATGATAAATAGGTGTTTACATCGACAAGATTAGTGTGCCGAGGGCCTAGCCCCACCGATACAAACAGCCATAACAAGTCTTACCCCTCGCTGGAGATCGAAGCCGATACAGCCCAACTCGAAACAAGAAATCATCAAGAAAGATGATAATAAAAAGGGTGGCAATGCGTGGAAGTTGTATTGATCGAGAGATAGTTTACAATGAACCCGAGTGTACGTATTTATACCCATTGGCAGTTAAGAGTCCTTATCGTACACTAAACACACTTTACTAAAGATAAAAGGAAAATTACAAGTCATGATCGAACACATGATAAATACTTCCTTAAGATAATAGGAAAGTTACTAAATCTTGCCTAATTAACAGATATAATTAAACTATCATGTCATGGTTTTCACGATTCTTCCATGAACTCGATCTCTTCTAGATAGGTTTCCATCAGCTAATTGTGCTCTTTCCTTAACATAACCGACTAAAGATTCTTACCAAATTTTGGCGTTAACAGAACCGCCCCAGGTTAATGACAACGATGATGAGGATGGGTCGTCGTGATCGGGTGTGCGGCCCGGGGAACAACAGTCATGAGTTTGACCTTGCCTCTAGGCTAGAGATCGCGAGTTTTGTCGTTCCCAATCCTTGTGGTGACTTCACCGACCTTGTCTGTTCTCGTCCTGATGGCTTTGGTTGTCATGATGATCTCGATCGTGGTTGTGGTTACGATTGCCGTCCTGACGATGCTCCCAGTTATGTTAGACACAGGGTTGTCGGTGTCTAACATCGTGTTGGTTTTGTCGCTCGTTCCTTCGGTCATTCAATAGATCGCGAGCCTCTTGATGGGGAGGCACTCGATGAGCTTGTTGTCGGGGCGGTCTGTTCGCAGGAAGGTCTTTAGGAACTGGTCGACCAGTAGCAGCCGTGAAGACGGAATTGTGGTTGGCGACAATAGATTCCATTTGCTTTAATCACGCATCCACATCTGGGTGGGTTACTAGGTCATGTCAAAAGGAGCTTGTTGCAGTAGGGTGTTGACGTTGTTCACGCGAACCAGCTCGATTGGTACTGGGGTTTTGTCTCGTGAATGGATTTCACCATCCATACTGTCCCAAGTACCGCCATCCGCGCCCATATCTTCAACCACTCCCTAGATCATGTTCACACCACGCATAGAGTTTGACCCAGAGAATTCTAGGTCATATAGGTTGTGTAAAACGGATGAGTCGTGGGGGTCTAGTCCGACGTACCCATCCATTGTTAGATTGAGGTGTTGTCATCCACAGATGCATCGTTAGATTGATCTCGACGAGAGTGGATCGGATTACATTGAATGTGAACCATTAATTTGGTGATATTTAGGAATATCTTGCATCCGGTAAAGGGCTGGCTTTTGGATTTGTGGATAGGACACCACGCCTCGTATGGAGAAGTGCGTTTAATCCCGTGATCCTGACAAGCATCGAGTTCAGCCTTCACTTGAAGTATGATGAGAAGATGTCTTGTAGATTGGACACCAGGTGTTGAAATCTCTTTCGACGAATTTCCTTACCGGCATCTGGTTCTTGATGGGAACTGGTAAATTAGCGGTCTTCGGAAGATTATCTATAGATTGAGTTCTCGGCACCTCATTCTTACGTAAACTGGAGAGGTGGCCATTTGTGGGATCATGCCCGCACATTCCGTCAGGATGGTGGCGAACACTGGGAAGATGATGATTCCAACTAGGACAAAAGTTATCGTCGGCTAGGTTGGTCCCCCAGACCAGGACAGTCGTGGAAGCCCTCGTTGGAAAATCCAGCTCTTGGATTCATCTCATGAAAATCCTTTATCACCAAGTCCCCTACCTGGCGCGCCACGGTCGACGGGCCATACCCGCAGATGGTATTTACAGAGTATGGCGAACATCTGAACCAGGGTATACTCGAGATCTGACCTCTAGGAGACAAGGGACAAGGATTTACATTGCTTCGGGGGCCTCAAGATGAGTAACAACCCTACTCCAGTTTGGATGTATATATGGATGGGAATATCACACGAAAGTAATATGGCTAAAGTAATCCACTGCGATTTGTCCAGAACGACCCAATGAGATCTACTTGGTGAATATGATGTTGGTTTCCTCCAGATTGCTTCTAGATTTGTTTTTTTTCTATGGCTTATAACTCGATGCCCCTCCCTGGACGAGGGGCCTTGTATTTATAGTGAAGATCATCTTCCTTGTCAAATAGAGCTCGAGGCGATAAAACAAGATACAAGATTAAAGATACCTTATCTTTCCCGATTAGGATTATGACTCCTTCTATTCAGGAGAGATAATTTATTTCTTTATCTACATATTTCCTTAATCAAAAGATACATTTCCATATACCATTAGGTATATTGTATTGCTGTATTCCACACGATCACATATACAGGAGGTATGCCTTATTCTTGACATTGATATTACTCATTCAAAAATTATTAATTATTAATAGAGGTAGAAAAAATATTAAAATGTTTTCTATATAATTTTGTAATTACTATTTTTTTATTTTGAATCTATTAATAATATTTAATTAGCATCATATTCAATATATGATTAAGTAATGATAGTAAAATAGCTCTCGTGATGCATGGGTTGGCGACCAGTTTACCTAATCCTATCTCTACTATTATAAAAGTCGAAGATGTTTTTGTCAGGATTTTGGTACGTCATCCGTGATTGAAACGGTTTTAATTTTATGTTTCGGTTTTAATTTATATCTCTACTATAAAAACAAGAAATTCCCGTCAAGAAAGTCCGACTCAAAAAAGAGGTAAAAAAAGAAAGAAAAAATGTCCGACTGAACAAGCGATTAAAAAAAAACTTCCGTCGTCGTCAGTAAAGAAAAAAAAAGAAAAAAACCATCTCTTGTCCGACTCCCGTACAAAAAGGAAAAAAAAATCTCCCAGTAAAAAACAAAAAGGTCCGTTTGGTTTTTTTGCACCGGTATTTTTTTCATTTTTTCTTTGCACGCAAAAGAGTTTTCAACGTTTTTTCTTTGCACGCAAAAGAGTTTTTTTATGCGCACACGCTAAGGCTTTTGGTTTTTTTGTCTTTTTTTCATCCGATCGGTTCAACGTGCACCTCCCATGCGCTTTTGTTTTTCTCATCTGGTTTTATAATCCCATATGTTCGCCGCCGCCATATCGATCGTGCATTTTCTCCCCCAATTTGATTGCAAAAATCGATTCACCACTCCTCTCTCATTATTTTCTCCATGATTTTTCCCTTCGATTCAGCTTTAATTGCCAGATTTAATCTCTGTTTTATAGTTGCCGATGATGACGGTGATCTTCCCCGGTCATTTTTATCCCGAGTTTTACGCTTTGATTTGGGGAAATCGGAAAGAGTAGATCAAGTGGATAAAAACCCTCGACCAATTTTGGGTGACCCAAGGAAGATTCGACCGGATTTGATGGGGAGATTTTCTCTGGCAAACGTATGGGCGCAGGCACAGGATTATCTTCGGGAGGTTGAAGATGGTTGGGTCGAAGAGAAGCACACCAAATAGAGGGAGGTAGCGGAGTAGCCTAGGGCTGACAAGGAAGAAAGGCTTTCGGCCAAAAACCCATGAAATATTTTCATTATCTTTTCTTTAATTATAATTTATAGCGATCCCAATGTTAGGATTTTTATTAACTTTTTGAAATATAGTGTATAGTGATCCAAATATTTCAGCCGTGTTTAGATTCCAACTTTTCCATCACATCAGATATTTGGACACATGTATGGAGCATCAAATTTGAAAAAAATAAAAACTAATTGTACAGTCTAACTGTAAATCGCGAGACGAATTTTTTGAGCCTAATTACGTCATGATTAGCTATAAGTGCTCCAGTAAATCACATGTGCTAATGACGGATTAATTAGGCTCAAAAGATTCATCTCGCAGTTTACAGGCGGAATCTGTAATTTGTTTTGTTATTAGTCTACGTTTAATACTTCAAATGTGTGTCCGTATACGTCAAAAAAAAATTTGGCCAAATTTTTACAACATCTAATCACAGCCTTCAATTTATTATTCAGCTCTTAATATATCATTGAAACAAGTCTTTACCCGTTACAATGTACGGGTATCTTTTCTAGTATACTTTTAAAATTTATCGGCCCCCACTAGGTGTAGTTAATGCTAATTCTCTTTTTTATTGTTAAGGCACATCATTTCAATTGCTTGTAGCCTTCAATGATTCTTCAGTGGCAAATTATATCTCTTCTCCCAAAAAGCCAAACCAATAAAAATCTCAATCATTTAAATGCTTTGTATAATTGATCAAGGTACACGAAACAGAAAGCACATGAAATGTGGTAAATATAAATTAATCAGTTCACAACTCGTAATTATTGTTCTGTTATGCAATGTTCCCACTGCATGCACCGCACGAAGTTCTCATATAGTTGATTATGACTTTAGCACCTTTGCCTGCAATGACATAGAAATGACCGTGACGCTACCCTTCTTCTCCGGAGTCTCAAGTTGCTGGGTGACATTGTGTGCAAACACTGCAAAGAGGTCATCGATTATTGATTCCCCGAAATGGCTTTCGAACAGAGATCCCATTACCGCCTTTAAGGTCGCGGCAATGTTACGGCCGATTTCCTCATGAACATTGTCCTGTGTGGCATCGGCGGTGGCGCCCACCTCCAGTTTCGACTTCTCCACGGCATCATTGGTCAGGTGACTCAGGTCAAAGACCTCAATGTCCATGATGTCCAATAGCTGGCTTTGTTGCACCAGCTGTTTCAGCTCATCTGGCGAAGGGCCATACATTGGCATGTTGAAGGAGTCCAACTTCTCCGTCTCCACACGACCCTATTTTATAAGAACCAATATAAGAAGAGTTAAATGGTATCTTCTTTCATCATAAATCTTTAGTTAGATTAACCGGGAGGTTCATCCCACGGTAAACCATACATGACATTTGACTTTTTCAGCCTCCTAGATGTAACTTTGATATATATTGGAATAGATTTGTAAATGTTATAAGTTTTCGAAGAGTGTATGAGTACCTTACAAGACCTATCTACATATGCCTTTTTATAGTTCCAAATTAAGTATTTCAAAAAATTAAAATTTTCTATATAATAAAAGTAAAATGTCTCTCCTTTTACCTTAGGCATTGCAGTAATCACTATGGTAAGAAGAATGACAATTTTTAGTAGATGTGCTAAAATGTAGAAAAAAAATACCTCCTTGTAAGCTATACCTCGGCCATAAGAACATGCAGTGCCTGTGAAAGCAACTCACATTTATTACTTATTGCCCCACCTCCATGAATCGTGTCACTGTTCTTACTCCCAAGAATTGTGAGCACCATCCTGCCACCGGGCACAAGCTCTTTGCATCGCAACTGGAGGAACCGAGAGAAGTCCTTCTCAAACTGATTCAGATAGAGCTGCGCTACCAACGGAGGTGTACTAATTCCTATGTGAATGTTGCCCTTATTCATGTTGTCATCAAGATGTAGTGGGACCTATCCAAACGGTCATCACTTCAAATATCATAATTAAATTTGTCTACATGGGACAATAGTAGCACCCACGATGATAGGGTGATGCGAGAAGTCATCAAACATAACTAATATCTTTTATCTGAGAGAGCCACATGAGGCTAAAGGATGAATGGAAAAGATGAACGCTATTGCAAGGAAAGAGCCTAGTATAGAAGGATCCCATACCAGCAACGTAGTATGGAGGAGGTTGTAACCCTCTATGGGTGCAGTGCTGCATGGTTGACTGCTTGAACTGCTCCAGTGACCGGAAGATCTGGTTGAAATCATTGCTAGGTAGGTCGTTGAGAAAGAATTGGACCTCCATGGTGGACTCCCTGGTTGTATTATCGGTAGGGATTTTCTCACTTGCCGTGGCGATCACCTCTGAAAAAAAGAGAAGTGTATTTGCACCAGAGGAGTACCCTAGGTCTGCCACGACCATTGATTGAGGTTGAAGATCTGCACATACACCTTGTACGGCTTTCTCAACCATTGGTTGAGTTGCAATAATGGCTTTTCTCTATTGTACATGCATGTGTGAAATCCAATCAAAATTTTTGTTGAACCCTCTAGTTAACATGAAGAACACATGTCTAAATATTGCTATTACTACCAATATGCACAAACAAATAATCTCTCCCTCCCAAATTATAGGGCGCCCCCATTTTAAGAAAAATCAAACTTGGTAGCTTTTGACTAATAATCATACTAACTATATCTATATTAAGTATTATGCATGTTATATCGCTAGATTCATATTTTGAAGTACTCTTATGTGATGCTAATTTTATATTTGTTGGCATCATAGAATGGAATAAAATACTCATAAAATATGTTATTGAATACCATGTAAATAAAATATAGGCCTTATAATTTGTGATAGAGAGAGTAGTATTATACTCGGTGAAGAAACAGTGGTAAAGACAAAAAAAAAGGCAAAAAGAAATAATTAGTTTCGTTGAGCACTGAAAAGTAAAAGGAAACAACACTAGTACAGATCCTTCTATCTGTGACGGGCTCTAATATGCTTAGAAATAGCGGGCTGTCACAAGGAAGTCATCTCAATCGGGCCAAAAAGTGCCCGATTGAGATATGGTCGCACAAACATGTTAGATGGGTATAAAACTTAAGTCCGTCACGGATGACACCTATCAGTGACGGGCCACAACTTTAGGCCCGATTGAGATAACATTCCATATCTCAAACGGACCTAAAGTTGTGGCCCGTCACAAATGACCATCATCTGTGACAGGCCACAACTTTAGGCCCGTTTGAGATAACATTCCATATCTCAAACAGGACTCAAGTTGTGGCCCGTCACAAATGACCATCGTCTGTGACGTGCACCAACTTGAGGCCCGTTTGAGATAACAACTAGGCCCGTCACAGATGACTCATCAGTGACGGGCTATATACTTAATCTCTATCGGGCATTAACTAAAACCCGTCACCGATGACTATTTTTCCATTTTTCATATGAAATGTTTATATTTGTAAGTTGACTATAGCAAAATAATTTTACGGGTAGTAAATGATTTCAAATGGAAAAAATGTCAACGACAAAGTTGTATAACTTATTAATATTTACAACTTTTAGTTTGGTCATTTTTCAATATAACATTTTTTTGAACAGTTTGAATTTGAATTTACAAATATGACAATTTCAAACAATATTTTCAAATACTAAATGATTTCAATTGAAAAAGTCATCAACAACAAAGTTGAATAACTCATCAAGATCTAAAACTTTTATTTTTGTTATTTCTTCATCTGACGAAATGTTAGTAATATTATTCAGAAATTTTACATATATGTGTTATAGTTTATAAAACCAGATAAGAGATATGTCAATTTTGTGAACAATGTTACTATCACTTTATCGTATGAAGAAATGACCAAAATAAAAGTTTTAGATCTTGATGAGTTATTCAACTTTGTTGTTGATGACTTTTTCAGTTGATATCATTTACTATTTGAAAATGTTATTTGAAGTTGTCATATTTTCAAATTTAAATTCAAACGGTTCAAAAAGTATTATATAGAAAAATGACCAAAATGAGCTATACAACTTTATTGTTGATGAATTTTTCAGTTGAAGTCGTTCACTGATCTAAAATTCTATTTGAACTTTTCAAACTTTGAATTTCAAATTTCAAATCGTTTACATAGAGTTAGATGGAGAAATGACCAAAATAAAAATTTTGCACCACGATGAGTTCTACAACTTTGGTTTTGGTGACTTTTCCATTTGAAATCATTTAATAACCCCAATTTGATATCCTGGCCTAGGACATAATAGGATTAATAGAATACTCATACCAACATGTTACAATTACTTTTCTGAAAGCCAATCTCTAAAGAACTTTGACGTTAGGTGTGCTTGGTCTGGAGCAATTTCAGGATGGGTGACCGACCGGGAAGTTTGAACTTCCCGCGTGGGTGCACACGAGTGAGGGCTAGCCAAAAAATAAAATTTATTTATTTTTGGAATATCCTCATCTGTAACGGGCATTAACTCTAGCATAAGTTAATGCCCATCACAGATGACTCATCTGTGACGGGATATAATTAATGCCCGTCACAGATAAGGGTCATCTGTGACGGGCGCTAGTTGTGGCCCGATTGAGATAGGTCATCTGTGACGAGCTATAGTTTGACTGGTCGTCTGGGTCAAAGCTATCGGTGACGGGCTTTACTTAGGGTCTGATTGAGATAGAATCATCCGTGACGGCCGTTTGCCTGATTGAGATAGCTCTTCACATCAGTGACTTCTAGCCTGTGACGGACGCTATGCCCAATTGAGATGGGGCTTACCGCCCGATTGAGATGAGGGTATCCGTTCTAGTGCAAGAAAGAAGCGTGCCAAATTTAATCGAGTTGGCTACAAACTTGGAGACGAGAGTTGTTGGCGTAGCTTGAGTCTCCGTCCCCGTTGATCATGTGGAAATCGCGTTCCATCTTTATTTCCATCTACAAATGCTTCGCTATATAGAGACACCCTATTCCTAAATTGCTACTACCTGTCTCTGAACAAACCGTACAACATAATGCAGTGTGAAATCTGAAATGTGGAGCATGAGACTGACGAGACTATCTCACAACTTAATCCATTTTATAACGACAAACCTTGCGCTGCTCCGGTTTGGTAAATAATGTAATTTTTTTTGATCCGTTTCGAACCTTCTATTTCAAAAGTCAACTGTTCCTTTTTTTTAGAACAAAGTCAACTGGTCTTCAATTGACAGTGTGAATACGATGCATTGATAAGATTGTTGTCCATCCATCATCACGGTCGATTTGTTGTGGGTCTGCCGATTGCTGGTAAGAACGAAATGCTCCGGGTAAGTTTTATTATAAGAAAATAAAATTTATATCAAACAAATAAAATTATTCGGCCTTTTCTACGTCAAAGACTGCAGTCTCTAGTGTGGCTGTAACTTAAGCAGTCACACTAGAACCATCGAAATTACATCTAAGGGCCGAGATTTTTAGAGCACTGTCCAGCCACATAAGGAAATATATTATGCAAAACCACTGTAGCAATGGTTATATAGCATTTGATTTGCACATTTGATCTGATAAATGAACAGATGAGATACCATGCAGTCACCAACATGCAATCCTAGTTTTATTGCATGTGATCTCAATCCCTTTCCCAAGTACACACTACAAAGGAACATGCCAGCTACCTCTTCATGTCTGTCAGATAGATGCCTTGTCAGTGATAAGAATTTCAAGAGAGGACAGCATTAATTCTCTATATATTCGTAGTACAAGATATCATACATCCTAATACTACGAATCTGGATAAACTAGGATCCGTGATATCCTATACTATGTTTATTTTTTATATGACGGAAAAAATATCTATAAAGAATCATACTTACTACCCGTCATAGATATGGATTTCCATATGACTAGGCGGTTTGCCACCCATTAAAGATAACTCATATATCATTGAAGGCAACAAACACCCATCTCAAGCGTTGTGTTGGGTCATAAGGCCACCAGCCAATAATGACTATATGTGACAGGTCTAGGGCTTAATGAAAAGTTTGTGGCTCGTTAGTTCGCTCGGCTCATAATTAGCCCTGCTCAGTTTGGTTTGACTAGTTAGGAATTGACAAGGAGCTGAGCTGATGTTTAAGAGTTGAAGATCTAGAGTGCACATATGCTATACTAAACTGCCCATCAAAACAAAACCACGTGACCATCACCCAGCTTGCTGCAGCCCATCAAGCTAAGCAGCTTACCAGCACAAGTCCACGGCCGAGCTGGACGACACCCATCAAACCCTTGCCACAACTCACAAAGCACATGAGTATGTATTAATAAGAGTTTTTCACGTAAAAATTCATGTCTCCGTTGTACATCTATTTTTATAACAAGCGATATCAGAGCATCGAAGATCAATCTACGTCACGCAGCCGTCGCCGGTTCGTCGAGTCACCGGATCGTGGAGTCGCCGGATCGATCTGATCGACGTCATCCCTGCCGCCCGCGCGTAATTAGGGCAGCAGCAGGACACGTCTTGGAAACAGCGCACGCGTCTAGAGAAAAAGGTGAAGCAGCAGCAGCAAGCCCTCCAGCTGCACGCGCATCGAGGAAGAGGGAAATAGGGCAGCCAACCAGCCTGTGTGTTCACGTGATTAATTTCACGGTTGGAAAATTGCTACGCACACACAAGCTTGTGTACCAGGAAGTTTCAGATCTACGTTACGTGCACACAAGAAGTGTACCAGGTTTCACGATTTATCTAGGTTTACATCAATTTCTTACTAGCAAATTCAAGTTTAATTCCCATGGCGAGTTTGAAGTATGATCTATCGCTCCTGGACCGAGACATAAGATTCTCACTGTGGCAAGTGAAGATGCAAGCCGTTCTTGCACAACAAGACCTCGATGATGCGCTTTCTGGATTTGACAAGACGACTCAGGATTGGTCCGGCGATGAGAAGAAACGGGGTCGTAAGGCTCTGTCATATATTCATCTCCATCTATCTAACAATATTTTGCAGGCGGTGCTTAAGGATGAGACAGCCGCTGGGCTGTGGTTGAAGCTGGAACAGATATGCATGACTAAGGATCTGACCAGTAATATGTATCTAAAGCAAAAATTATTTTTGCACAAGTTGCAAGATGATGAGTCCGTGATGGACCATCTTTCCACTTTCAAGGAAATTATTGCTGAACTTGAGTCTATGGAGGTAAGTATGATGAAGAGGATTTAGGCCTTATTTTATTGTGTTCATTGCCCAGCTCATATGCAAACTTCAGGGATACTATATTTTATAGCCGCGATACTCTAACTTTGAAAGAAGTTTATGACGCTTTGCATGCCAAAGAAAAGATGAAGAAGATGATACCCTCTGAAGGTTCAAATTCACAAGCAGAAGGCTTGATTGTTCGGGGCAGGCAACAGGAGAAGAACAGAAAGAATCAATCAAGAGATAAAAGCTCAAGTAGCTACCGTGGGAGATCAAAGTCCAGAGGCAATTATAAATCATGCAAATACTGCAAGAGAGATGGACGTGATATATCTGAGTGTTGGAAGCTACAGGACAAAGACAAGAGAACCGAAAAATATATATCAAAAGGTAAGAAAGAAGAGGAAGGTAAAGCCGCAGTTGTTACTGATGAGAAGTCTGACGCAGAATTGCTTGTTGCTTATGCTGATTGTGCACAAACTAGTGACCAGTGGATTCTTGATACTGCATGCACCTATCACATGTGCCCGAATAGAGATTGGTTTGCCACCTATGAAGCTGTCCAAGGTGGTACTGTTTTGATGGGTGATGATACACCATTCGGGGTTGCAGGTATTGGAATAGTTCAGATCAAGATGTTTGATGGCTGTATCAGAATATTGTCAGATGTGCAGCATATTCCAAATTTGAAGAAAAGTCTCATCTCTTTATGTACTCTTCATCGCAAATGGTACAAATATTCTGGTGGAGACAGAATTTTGAAGGTAACTAAGGGTGTGTTTGGTTGCTTGCATCATTTTAGCCTGGCTCATCTCTCTCATCCAGGCTGAGTTTGGCCTGGCTAAGTAGATACATGTGTAGCTGTTTGGTTGGTTGTATTGGTTTAGACAGGATAGAGTGAGATTTTGTTTGGTTGCTTGCATCCAAGATACGTTTTGAAAGAGATTTTGTTTGGTTGGTTGTATGGATAGTATGTATGAGTATTTCCTTTCTTTGAGGGTGAGATTACCTCATTTAGAATTAATGAGTGAAAATTCTTAACATCTACGAAGTAAAAGCAATTTATTTATAGAATATTATATCAGATTTTATACATGTCAAATATACAAATAATTGATTTCGGAGTTTCCAACAACGATAATTTAAAACAATGTCAGATGAGCTTATACAGTCGCACAGCAGTACATAAACCATACTCCCTCCATTCCAAATTGATCTACATATAGTTTTTATGAGGTTATTCCTAAATGATCTACATATTTGTGTTCATTCATTAAGTCTATTCGTTATTTGTGCATTGGAGTAAATGGACATTGATGCATGCATCCATGCACACAAGTATTTATAAACCACATGCAATATCTTGATTTGTTATTGGCTAGAAAATAGTGGGGATGGTGCATGCATTGAGTTTACTGCTAGAGTAAATATAGTATGAGAGAGTTATTAGTTTTTCTCCGTCTTGGTGTACCTATGAAATATGTAGATCAATTTAGAATGGAAGGAGTATTTATTAGTGGTTAATGACATCCGGTGGGAAAAAAAAGAAAAAAGAAAAGGAGAAGAGAGTTCGGAGAGGAACTTGTCGCCGCCGGTAGCTAGCCGCTCGTGCCACCTAGCTAGGCATGTTCGCCTCCGTCGGTGCAGGGTCCAGCGGCCGGGTGGTTTGGATCTAGCGGGCCAGAGTTCCTAAGCGCTGAATCTGGCCAAAGAAAGGTGAGTAGCAGATGGATTTGAGGTAGCTGTCCACGGCAGCGGGGGTGTTCGTGCGGCGACAAGCTCAAGCCGGCGAGGAAGGTGGTGGTGCTGGCCACGACGACAATGTGAAGAAGTGGGAGCCAAGCTCATCCTTGAGGAAGGCGGCGACGAGCACCCGCCCTTCGACATCGCTAGGAGGGTAGATCTGGCAGTGGCGAGGTCATGCCCTCCGGATCCGCCGATGGAGAGCTCTTGGTGGCCAGTTGCTGAAGAAGAGAGGGAGGACGGGACTTGCAGCTAGCTTGATCTGGCAGAAAGAGATGGAGATGGTCGCCGCTGGTGGCTGTGAGCTTGTGATTGGCGATATCAAAGAGAAGAGAAGAAAGAAGAAATAAGGAAGAAGGCAGGGTGGTGCTGGGGACCCCATCGCCTCTCCCCGCATGCGCGGGTGCAGCGCTTGCACGCGTGGGTGCAGCGCTGCTGCATGCGTGGAGCCAGGACGAGCAGCGAAGCTCGATTCAGTCGATCCTGCTTGGCCTGGCTACGAAGGACTTTTTGCATTTGTTGGGCCTGGCTGTGGGACACATGCAGTCAACCAAACAGCCTACAAGTTGCATCCAAGATGCGAGCCAGGTGTGAGCCAGGCAACCAAACACGCCCTAAAGGCTCTCTTGTTGTGATGAAAGCTGATATTAAATCTGCCAACCTGTACCATCTGCAAGGTACAACCATATTAGGTAATGTTGCTACAGTTTCTGCTTTATTATCTAATTCCGATGCTACTAATCTTTGGCATATGCGTCTTGGGCATATGAGTGAAATTGGTTTGGCAGAATTGAGTAAGCGAGGATTGCTAGATGGACAAAGCATTGGGAAGCTCAAATTTTGTGAGCATTGCATCTTTGGCAAGCATAACAGGGTGAAGTTCAACACATCTACACATACTACTGAAGGTATTCTTGATTATGTGCATTCTAATTTATGGGGCCCTGCTCGTAAGACATCTTTTGGAGGTGCTCGTTATATGATGACTACCGTTGATGATTATTCGCGAAAAGTTTGGTC